CAGATGCGTTTTCTGCGCGAGCAGGGGGGTGGGGGTCCGGACCCCCTGGATCCCCCCTTTACACGCCCCTGTATGGTAGCTATATAGCCCCTCACCTTGCTGTATTAACTATGTTACAGTGTCGTCGGACGAGGGTGTTGGCGGCATGACCCCGGAGACAGACGACGGCGGCAGCGGCGGCGGCGGCGGCAGCAGCAGCCGCACCAGCAGCAGCAGCAGTCTGCTGGAGGAGCTGAAGCGTGAGATGGTAGAGCTTCGCGGACAGCTGGAGCGGGAGCGCCGCATCCGCCACGTCGTGGAGGAGGAGAAGCTGCAGCTGGAGGAGCAGCTGACCGCAGCACACACTGAGAGACTCGGAGGAGGAGCAGGAGCAGCAGGAGGAGGAGGAGGAGGAGCAGGAGGAGGTGACGGCGGCCACGCGCGCATACCCGACATACACGCTCGCATCCCGTTCTACTACCCTCCACCAGTTCACGAGGTAGGTGTTGCGGAAACTCACTCTATATTCATCGATAACGTACACTTCTGAAATATTCTACAACGTATGGTATTTATTTATGTGTCATTCATATATGTAGCATAATGTCATTCGTGCTTCGGTCTCCTTCACCGTGTGTTTCCGCTCTGCTTTCCCTCGCGCTCCCCGTACCACTTTCCCACGATCTCAACGCCCCCACACGTAATCACTTTCTATCTGGCGCCGCTGCACCGAATAACTGATAACAACAAATGCTTACAATTTCTTACACACATACACATTCTACCTATTCGCAGTCCACATATTCATATGATTAAGAGCGTATTAAGAACGCCTTCTTTATTCTTATGATTATACATTTACATTTCCCATTACGATATACGGTTATACGCGATATTTCTACTACCCCTCCGCCAGCTCAAGAGGTAGGTAGCCATGCGTGCGTGCGTGCGTAGATCGCTGGTACTGGTAGTGACCGTGGGAGTAGTACAGCAGTTTGTTATGTATATATATATATATATTATATATTGTCTGTTGATAGCAATTCACTCCGTTACTATCTAAGACATATATAATATTAGATATTATAATATACCTGTTGATCGCTCCTGTTAAATCGCCACCAGGCTAGGACGATTAGAAAGCATTTCTCAATCTTACTTTAGAAATGAGAAAATAATTGGCACATCAAATGAATCTAAAAAAAAGCGTAAAAACTTGTAAAAACTCTTCTTTTCTCATCGCCTGACCCCTAAAAGTTTGCGGTGTAAATTAAAATTCTTGGATCTACTGGCGAAATGGACCGCGCGCGTAGTTTGCGTGTCTGAGGCAAGTTTCGTTCATTGAAGAGCCCACACGCAGCGTGAGTCGTCGATACGATGAACCCATCTAGATCTGTAGTCGCTGCTCTCGCTACGGCACATTCCTCCTCCCTTCATTACTCCGTCTATGCTGGTGTCTGCCCGCGGGCGGCGTGTACGTACGGTCGAGATGAGCGGCTAGTTTAACACGCTGGTTTAACATTTCAATCACGATCCACGGTCAGTGACAAGGTCCGTGGTCCGTATCAAGGTCCCCCCCGGGTCTGCGCGCTCGTGTATAGGCGTAATTTCCCCGCCTGCCCGGTTAGTTCTGCGCGCTCGTTCTAAGTGCGTTAATTTAGACTTGCATTACAACACCCCTGTACAGTCCCTACCTCCTTCCCCAGTCCCTCCGCTACGCTCCTCCCCCTACCCTCCTCATACAGCTTCTACCTCCGCGTCTGCTTACACCGAAGTCGTAACTGCTAGCTGTATGATGGGGGAAATTCATTGCTAAGTCCACCCTCTCGCAGAATATCGTCACGTGCTGCGGTGAAAATTACAGCAGTCGCTTCTGATCTGTGCACATTGCCCTCTGCTAACTTACTTTTGACTGCCGGGGAGGTGGGCAGTTGTATAGAAATGTCTAATTTGTTCGGCTATACGCTCCATTAGGAAGTGTTCCCAACTGTATCAGTATGATAATGATTTAATGGATTTGATAATCCAACCCTAACTCCGTAACCCTAACTAACCTATCAACATAACCCTTAACCCCTATGACATTAAAATGGGAACACTCTGAATGGGAGTATCACCCAATTGTCACAATTGATATCCCGACGCGCGTGAATTGCGTACCTCGATCACGACACGCCAGACAAATGTTGAGTAGCTCCCTAAGTGTTGGGCCTCCCCGTCCCCTTCCCCCTTACTGCCTGGTGCCCCAATATCTCCTAGTTGTAGTTATACTAGCCACCATGCACGTCTGCACTTGATAGCCTAAGTAGCTCGCAACTCCCACACACGCGCCGCCACATACCGGGGCGTTGCGCACGTTTGTGTGTCGTGATTTGGCTTCTTAACAGTTTACGATTGACACTGCATTTATCCGCCCCTCCACTACAGCAAAGCAAATATGATCTCGGCAGGACAGTAGTCACACTAGAACTGTATCGTAAAGGTCATCATCCATCATCATCATCATCATCTCAGCTACCCACGTGCGTGCGTGCGTGCGTGCGTGCGCGTGTGTGTGTGTGTGTGTCGCGCGCAGCGCGTGACTATATCATATGATCTAATGTGCGGCAACGTCACCTGATTTGCTTGAGCGCCGGCATTCGGCAGTCGGCTGGTGTATTCAAACACGGGCCGCACACAGATTCGCGACCTCTGTGTCCATAATCAGCTGCTGCCTACTGACTGATAGCTGTGCGTGCGTGCGTGCGTGCGTGCGTGCGTGCGTGCTGTGCGTGCGTGCCTGCAGTGCGTGAGTTATGTAGGGCAGGTTGTGAGGACCGTGCAGGAGAGAAAGAAGCAGAGAGAGGGTGAGGAGACGGGATGGGGAGGCAGGGAGAGAGCGGGGAAATAGAGAGAAACGAGAGGACTGAGAAGACAACCGCACATGTACGTACGCACACGCACACACGCACGCACGCACACGCACCACACGCACACGCACACGCACACGCACA